ACAGATTTGAAATGAAAAAAAATTATATTCTTTTGTTCTTCTGAGTATCCGGTAAAAAGTGCTTGCAGCTAATGACGAACGTATACATACAATACTTACGTTAGCTCTATCCCCGTATTCCAACAGCATATCAACTTTTTACCATAATAAAACATTTTCAACAAAAAATTCTAATCACTGAATCTAAGAAGAAACTCTCCCTTGACTTTTATTTTTTTTAAATACTAATCTGTTTTTTTCTTTCCACTGCATGAGCTTGTCGAGAGTTTCTTCTGCAAGTAATATTTTGTTTTTATAAAAAATTGTTTTTTTTTTTCCTGTGAGCTTATTTTTCAACGCATTTAGAAAATTTTGGCGTCAAAATGTTGCAAAAAAAGTACCGGTTTTAAAAAGTTTTTGTTCCCACTAGGGTGCTATTTGATAAAACTATGTTATCCTAAAAAATTAATAGATCATGACAATAAATATTATTTGCCTCTGAACAAGTAAAGAAACGTTCCATTTACAATTTATCAAATGATCAGGTGACCCGGTAAATAGTATTTATGATGGTCACAGTCTCCTAGACAAAATTTTCGAAAATTAAATAAAAATTTAAAAAAACAAAAAAAAGAGAAAAACCGTCCTATCCTACGTATCCTGAATCCAAAAATTCGAGGGTTGCTGTGGTTTCCGCTTAAACCGGAAGTGCAACCATTGGCTACACATTGGCAAAAAATTGGACATTCAGTCCATATTAACCCTTTCAAATTTCAAATCGCTATCTCAAGCCGGTATATAGCCTTGTCAACGAATACTTAGTTTAGCCTTACAAAAATTAGCTATAAAATATTACCAACGCTAGCGACACTGAATTTTGAAGTAAACAAAAAAACATAACATAAAATATTAATAATGCTATTTGAACACTTATTTAGCCCCATTATTTTGCAATAACTCAAGTTGATGGTAACAAAAATGTACCACATGTATTTAAAGAGTTTGTTCTGTTCGATAAATGTATATTTTTTCAACATCGCTAATTTGTACTTTCCCATTATTCCACACATATAATAATAAACTACCATAACGTATTGTAATTATTTGTTTGGCGTCACATAGTTATTAAAAAATGTAATTGTTCAACCTGAACACTTTGAAAAAGTGCGTTTTTTTTGTGTCAATTGATCGATCAATTGAGCTGTCAATTATTTATTTGTTTCTTAATTTATTTATTAGTCATTTTACGGACACAGTCCATTTCTACATAAAAACTTACTAAAAATTCACAATTAAATTACAGGTTGATACAAAAGTAAAAACTAAAAGTAAAAGCCTATGTTACAATCTCACAAGTTATGTTATGTTATGTTATGCTTGCTTGAATCTGATTCCTAAACCTACCTTTAGTGGCTAGCCAGCTGGGCCGCCCTTGCAATGGATGTTATTACGTCCATAGTTGGTTATGTGGTACGGTACTAAAAATGTGCTATTCAGAAGAGTTATTCGTATTGGTGCAAAAAACTCAATTTTTGACAGAATGGCGGGACATAAAGAACTGGAATTAATAAATTCCATATATTACATATATAGTTATTAATTGTTTTATGTTAAAAATATTTATAAAACTTTTAATATGTAATATATTAATATGTATATATATATATATATATATATATATATATATATATATATATATATATATATATATATATATATATATATATATATATATATATATATATATATATATATATATATATATATATATATATATATATATATATATATATATATATATATATATATATATATATATATATATATATATATATATATATATATATATATATATATATATATATATATATATATATATATATATATATATATATATATATATATATATATATATATATATATATATATATATATATATATTAATGTATTACATATTAAAAGTTTAATCAATATTTTTTACATAAAACAATTAAATATTTTGAAATATAAAATTCTGACTAAAACAAGGACTAAAGTGAAAAAAAATATTTAAAATTCTTATTTTATTCGAACTACGGGAAAGAATTATATATAGCAAAAAAATCGGAAATTACATTTTTCAAAATCTAGTGTTTCTAAATTGGTAAGATTTTCATGACTAGTTTACTAATTTTTGAAGGTTCTGACAACATTTTGTTGTACATTCTTTACACTATAAAAACTATAGCAACCGATTTTCACGAGATTTATAAAAAAGACAAAAAATATCGGATAATTTGCATATGTATACGTAAAAAAATGTCTTCTGCCGTATGATGGGCATCGAATCTTAGAAGGCTATCGATTCCATTTAACTGCGTGACATTTTTAGTGGACGAGTAGCAACGTAAAAACGTTTACACATAAATTTATGAGTTAAGATGTCACGGTTATCGAACGCAAGGTTAATCGTTCTGCGTGTGACGTTCACCTTAAGGACGCGCTTCTTTGAGCCTAAGAGCGTTTTAATTACAGTCGTTTCTACTTGCGGCGCGTTAATTGAAGAGGAATTGTTCGGTATGACGCTAATATGGAATCGCGGTGTAGTGCCATTGCCACGGTAATTGAAAAATTAGAAGGTCGCTTTGGAATACAGGGTGATTCGCATCGAGCGTTTTATTCAAATTCCTGGGGAACTATTGAATTTTGCTTTCTAAGTACTTTGTGTTAGCATCCATTTTTTTCCAAAATTTAATTATAATGATTCACATTAAATCTATTTATTTTTAAATTTAGATCAAATACCCTATAACTAGATAACTTTTGTTATCATCTACCTAAACCAATATTGGTTGATTTTTGACAAAGAAAAAAAAGGATAAAAAATCACTACTTTTGAAAATTGAATCAAAATTAATCGAAAATGAGAATTTTTACAGAAATTTAATAATGATGGAAACTTTTTAGAAAATCTGTACTGAATTATATTTCGGAAAATATGGATCAGACCTACAATATTTTCATTCACTCTCACACAGTTCTTCAAATACTATTCTACTCCCGTCTGTAAAATACCTAATTACACACCGATCTGGCGTGCGGGAAGCGTTACTTTAACACGTCAGTTTCGTTTCCCACGGATCCAAGCCACATCGTACATTTCCGGGATTTTAACGCACGGGTTTGGGAGCAATCGGATGTTTTCGGAGATATTTCCCACGCTTTGAATTTTGACGTCAATTCTGACGGGCATGTCGGTGAATGTATTCCTGTTGTTTTGCGATAATGTATGCAACACTTTCGTTAAACGCGTTTATTATTAAACACTTGCTCCGCTGCGCTCCGCTCGTGCCCAATAAACTCGTGAGTTAAATGCAGTTTACCGCACTTGTTGTATAATATACTAGTTTCTACTCCCTTCTTTGAAGTACCCAACGATACACCAACATAGCGTGTGGTGTAATTGAATTTTGACTTTTGTCAATTCTGACGGTGATATCAGTGAATGTATTCGGGTTGTTTTACAAAAATGTACCCAAAAATAACGGTCGTAGAAAAAGTATAATATGCAACACGTTCGGTAAACTTTCAAAATAGCTCATTTAATTAACACTCACTCCGCTGCGCTCTGCTCGTGCCAAATAAACTAGTGTTCAAATGCGGTTTACCACACTTGTTGCATAATATACTTTTTAGTGCAGAAAATTTCAAACCGCATCGAATGTTTTTCCACAACTTAGAGAAGTCAAGACAACGTGCTCACTGCTGGGCAAAGATTGACCATAAAGCGAAGCCAAAAAAATACAATAGAATAAAAACTGGAGAAATGCAGGATCCTTTTTCTAGCTGTTTGCATATTGTATTGCATCCTTTGAAAGTTTGGCGCAAATGCTTTGAAACCAGTGACTTTCATGTTTTCCTTTAAACACAACAACACAAAGAAGGTTTTGGTTATTTTCATTGAGTGACTATCTCATCAATGAAAAAAAAGTTCTCTAGATCAGAAAGTACCTCTGTAAAAACGCACAAAAGGAGGGTTCTTCATTTACAAAAGTTCTAGTGATAACTTAAACTTGAAAAATTTTTAAAGAATTAAAGCGCAATAAAAATTAGAAAAGTTCAGGATGAACTGTACTGAAGTGAAAAAAAATTGTTCATAAATGCACCAAATTTTTTTGATATTTCCTTTTCTAAAAGAAGTAAGCAACTCTAAAGAAAATGGATTTTCAAAAACCACATAGAAAAAATGATTAGCGAATGTAACAAATTTAAAAAAAGGAGCACAAAGCAATTCTTAAATCCCAAAACTGCAATATCTTTCTATATTGCGCTTTTCTATTCAAATGTGAAGTCTAATAGTGACAGATATGATATATTAAATTTTAGTTACATTTTATTCCATTTTTGTATATTTGTACTGTTTGCAACTCTAATTTTGAGGGTGTTGACTTGATTTACTTTTTCAATTTTATTTATTATTGTTAGTTAAGTATTATTTCGTAGCAGTAGCAAAACGTTTTTTTTCAGATGTATTTTATATTTATTTATTGATTAAATCCCCTTCTGCATTTTTTTAATTTCTAGTCAATTTTTTCCATTGTACAAAGTAATAGCATTACCTGCGAAACGAATAATGTTATTATTTAATTACCAACAATGAACTTTCAGTTTTATTTAAACTCACCATCTGAAATTTAGAATAGTTAGAGCAATTAATAATAAAGTTCACAAAGGCCGGCGCGCACAGATAATTTTGGAAAATTTAGGTAAACCCGAGTCAATCATCGAGGGACTCGACTTCATTATCCCGCGTCGTCTGAAACTCCCCCGGCGAAAATTAATTTGCCGAAATCCCCCAGCAACAATTACCCCTTTTAACGCTATAAACTCCCAAAAGAGTCCTGCAAAATACAACTCTCCGGAACAATCAGCCACCGGGTTAGTCATCAGTTTCAATCCAATAAGATCTAACGAATCCTGATAATTGAATCCTGCAACGTATCGGGCCCGCAGGACAATCAGGTAAGTCCGGCGATCGTTCACGAGCGGCATTCGTTCGCGATATCCGACCGTTTTGTTGTTGTCGGCGGTGCGAAGGCGTTTGGACGGCGCGAATCAGTCGTCGTCAAAGCGTCTTGCAGAAGGACGCCCGAGACGCTTTCAGTAGCGATTCCTGCGGCGTCGTTATCGCGCTCTCTTGTCGATCGCGTTTTGTTTGTAATAAGAGTCGTCTTGGAAACTTTTTGACCGGAGAACCGATTTGCATTTTGCCGCAATCGAACGGCAGTGTGGGTTCGGTTGGTTTGGGGGTTAGTGGCGAGTTCTTGGACGACTCGGATTGGGTTTTCCAACATTCAAGGTAGGAACCCTTTTTCTGTCACAAGTTCCATGTGACGTCGATGAACACGGAACCGCAACAACTTTCTTTCTAGGGCGACCTTGGTTTAACGTAACTCTTTTTTTCAACAATTGTAATAATAAAAACTAAATAAATAAGTTTTTAATTTCAATTCGCTTTTATAAAAATAAAAAAAACACGTCCTTGACAGCTTTCTTAAAGTTTTTGATTATGTTGATATATTTCGGAGAATTTGTTAGATGATTATATATTAATTATAATAAGGTTCTTTCTCCGTTATCGAAAGTCTGTAATGATATGTGTTGTTGTCAATTTAAATTAAATTAAATTAAATATTCTGGATTTCAATATTATTATTATATGTTATGGTCCTCTTTTGTATAATAAAAACTATCCCACAATATTCTGCCATAACGTATAACAGATTCAAAATTAGCACAACAGACAACAATATCTCAATTCCTAAGAAGTTTACAATTTCCTAAACTTAGCATTTGTTTTATTTAATCCTATGAGGGCGAGTTGACTTTGTTTCGTTCCATATAAAATAATTTTCTATTACTTTGTTTTGCCCAAACTACCAATTTATATCATCAATTGCAAGCTGCCAATGCAGCCGATCGATGCAGGTCGATAGTTGTTTAAATTGTACAGATTTCCTTTTTATGCACTAATATAATTAGAGCCAATTTGAGAAGACAGAAAAAAACAGACGGAAAAGACAGCGTGCTTCATGAAATAGTTTACTAAATATCACAAAACTTGTGGTACTTTTGTCATTCAAGTCGTTTTGTATGAGAGCAGCTATCAAGTGCTTATGAAAGTCGTTTTCTGTTATTTGTTTTTAACATAATTAGCAATGCATTAAGCTTCTGTTTAATAATATTTGGTTTTCAAGATGTAGGATGCTTCTTTTTTTCGTTGCTGTTAGTTATAGTAGGAGGAAAGTATTTATTGAAAATATTTAATACTCTTTTATAAAAGTGTTTCAAAGATCATTTTTTTGCCAAATGATCTGAGATATGAGCCTGTATTACAACAGATTGTTCATTAATATATGAATTTGTGAAAATATTATGTGGACAACTACTCCAATTTTCATATATTTGAATATATGTTTCATATATTTCAAAATTCCATAGGATAAATGAAGCAGGTAACATTTTCGTAAGGTTGACAAGGCACAAAATCCGTTTTAATGTAAGAAAAAATTAATCAATGGCCAAGTAGACTAAGGATTAAGCTTAGAGCTAAAGTTATAGTGAGTTTATTATTTTGACATATTGGATACTGCTTGGTTCGTCTTGAAGTTGGTTGGTTTGTATAACACTCTAAACCATTACTTAAGAGAGCAAAATTTTGGAGGCACTAGTATACTTTTACTATTAAATATTGAATGACATTAAGCTCCACACGATTCACGTAGCTGCTACTGTTATTTGTCGATGTGTCTTTCATTATTCTTAGGTTTGATTTTCTATAAATTGTAACGTCATAATGATATTGCTATAACTTTTGAGGTTGAAGTTTGTCGCTAGCTAAGCTCATGATTATAACTAAAACAGGTAATATTTTTTAAAAGTTTGGTTAGCGAGGTTCAAATATTCTTTTTGGAAAATATTAGGCGTTGTTCAGGTATTGATTGCAGAATTACATCTGCAACTTGATTCAAGCAAAAATTATACTCATCACTTTATTATTCATCAAATCTCTGATACTGGAAGAAATTAGTATTTCGACAGGAATAAAGCTTCTAAATTTGAAAATTTGTTAGAAGTATTGTATAAATTGCTTTCCCTCGATATACTTCTTCATATTAAGAAATTATGGGACGCGACTAGTTTCGGGAGATTCCCAGAAAATGGTTGTATGTATCGCAAATCATTATCTTTTAATTATAATGTTCTTAACACTTCTGCGTTTTTTGCTTGAATTCGTATTTATTTGGGGATGTAGTAGCGCATTGAAACAAGATTAAGTACGCCACAAATGTAAAAAATAACAATAAAAAAATAAAAATTTGTCGCAAAATTTAAAAAGACGGCGGTTATTACTCAGACATATATCATGAGATTAGAAAAATTTTGGTACACACTTTCAGAGGGAGGGGAAAAAGTGGCAATGAAAATGTGCAATTTATTTTAACACTCGGCTTCAAAGAGAGCCAGGAAAGAAATTTATCTCGTGGGAGCAGACCAGAAGAAAAACAGCACTTTAGAATTTTGTTGTATACATTGCATTGATTTTTCGCTAGGTCGATGCTTGTTGTGGAAGATATAGAAAACAGTTTCCCGCAAATTAAATACGTTTGCAAGTTTAGGTACGCCCCATAGTAATTTGAGATTTTATCTTATAATTAATATCTTTTTTAGTTATTTACAGTTCAGGAAATAATTGCAGTGCAGTTCTCTATTTATGAAGTACTTATGCCACAGACACAATTTTTATTTTATTTAGAATTTTTCTTCCGTCCTTGTTTTTCCGTGACAACACTTCAACGCACTATAGTTCACTACGTCAAAAGTGAACCGAAGTAACCGACAGTTTTTACGCGATATCGCGATCAGGTTTATAACTAGATACGTATATCTTTGGTTAATTTAATAAATAGACGTATGAATATTAATAACAAACTGGTTTTTGTCGCGAGGTATGTAGTTGCGTTGGTTCTTTGTCTTACTGTTATCGTTGACAAGTACCTAACTAGGAAACTTATCGGAAACCTATACTTTTTGCGTCGTTATCATAAGATGTTCGACCGCGCACGACAAACAAAACTGCTGATTTCTCGAGAGTGAAGTTTCATGGACATGTGCAAAGTCAAGATTGCAAGAACGCTACTCGCTACTCTATATTCGCGCGAATAGGCGTGTTTACTTGTAGGAAGTGTGTTTGTCTTTTGTCAGGCCTTGCAGTTCACAATTTTTTCAGTATAATATATGAAAAATTCGTTGGTATTGTTTAGAAGACAATGATTAAAAAATGCACTTTCGTTACATCTAGGAGTAGTTAAAAAAATTGAAACAGTTTATATTGAATTTTATTAAAAAGAAGTTTTAAATTAAATTAAATTTAACTTTTTATTAATGCAGGTAACCATACTTGAATATACAGTATCGTAAAAAAACGTTCGGGGCTTTAATTTCTTTCAAGAATTCTTCATTGAATGTGTAGGGAAATTCAAAATTCAGTAACGAAATTTAGACTTTAAAGGTCTTGTCGTTTTTGGGGTATTACCATCAAAATAAAAGAATAGGTTACGTTTCTTAGTTTCCAACGTGATAGGGAACAGGGCAATATTTTCAATATTTCTGCTTTTTCGTTCTGACTTTTTTTGCTGTGCGCCGCTGGTATGTTCCAACATACAAAAAGGAAATTCGGTTTTGTTAAAAAAATATTTTATTCTCTGGAAATTGTAATTATTTTTTAAGGAAATATATTATAATAGTACATTTTGCAATTGTGTTGTAATTTGTTTAACATTAAAATAGAAAATCTTTAATTTTTAACACCCTGTTTGCGGCACATGTTTATAAGAAAAAGAAGTTTCGTTAGAAGATTTTAATACTGAATTTTAAAACACTTTACACCACCGAACCGAAAAGTCAAGGTTTTCGACAACAATTGAAAAATTGAACAAATGACCAGAAATAAAACAAAACAATTTTTACACATCCTTGTACATTTATTAATATTTTTATTATTTTATTAACACATGCGAGAGACATACTACTATTTTGAGAGATAGAGCAAATATAAAACTAAGTTTTGCTTTTTATTTTTTGGATTTTTTTTGCCATTAGTTTATCTAATATATTTTTATATCTATATATTTGGATTATGTTATTATATTGTAATATATGCATTAAACAATATTTACTGGTAACCCATAATGTCTTGTTTGAACAAAAGAAAAATTTGGGTAGAGACCAAGCATTAAAAACAGCAGTAACAATTCAGCAGTAAGCAAATACGTCGGCCCTTTTAGTTTCGTTAATTATATTTGTGAAATTTGGATACTAAACTAAAACACCAAACTTCAACCTTAGTAGTAAGTTTTGGCAAATATATTTGGCGATTTTACAACTCAATGATACCTCTGGTGGAAAAAAATATTACTATAGTTTGGAAGTAAAATTGGGAATTGTTGCATTGTTTTCTTACGACGTTCAGGATTGCTTTGCTTTTTTTATGTTGATATTATTTTAAAAAACAATTAGTTTGATATGTTCGGGATTCAGTGTCTCTATGGATTCACCCGAAATCCAAATACAAAGCAAATTGGTCTGTTGATGGATGCTACTCAAGAATTTTAAAGAACGATTAGGTTTTAATTTTTATTCTTGGGTCATGTTCCACAAAAAGTGGTTGGCCGACGAGTTGTGTTTCTTTACATTTAGCAGCGCCACTATCGGACAATAAATGCGCCCAGTTTAGTTGCAATATACGGGGTGATTCAAAAATCAGTAAGAGAAAAGAGGATATTTTATATACTTGTTACCCTTAAGCGAAACTAATGAATAAAAAATTGTCTAGCGAATACGGGAGCAAATAGTTCTGTCATTCATTCATTCTCGGCGATGCGTTTGTTACAGTCTGCTGCGCCGTAACACCGACACTTATTAATCAATAGCTACCACAACGTCGAAAGCGAAAATGTAATATAGCGCACAATATACCGTTAGATTGTATTTAAATCCAAATCTGTCAGCTACACTTCCAACAAAAACGAGAAATCCGGAATTCGCGAGGCTAGTGCTCCGACACAAAATATTTAAATGGACTCACACACCCATTAAGTCATATTAAAGAAGTAAGTGTTGCTAACCTTCGAGATCGAGTCGTGGTAGGCACAAGACACTTTGCAACGATCCGATAGAAAATAAATAAAGAACAAGTTGATAAATACCAAGCGGAGTGTAAGCGGAATTTCATGGTCGATTCGATTTGCCAAAGGTTTCGTGAGTTCGTCTTCAATTTGATACCGAAATACATTTCGG